GATCTTTGGCGCAGGTTCTACCCCGTTCTCCTCGACCTTTTCAGCTGACTCGTTTTGCTGTTCGCTGGGAACAGCACGTGGTTCCTCCATAGGGACGTTCTGCTCCAATTCATTAGCTAGACTAGGGTTCGCTTCTTCGTTTTGTTCTTCGGCATGGGGTGTGCTTACATCGATCACAGTCGTGGTTATCTGATCAAATTCTTTAGTTTCGGTTTCTGGCAAGACGCTCGGCCCTGATTTTGGTTCGCTCTCCGGTACAGAATCCGTCACGCCAGGTTGCTCCGACATCTCTTGGACCTTGGTCGCGGTTTCTGATTCTTTTACCGCGTCACAGATCGGTAAATCCGTTGCATCAGGCACTATGTTTTCATCTTCTTCAATCAGATTTTTGGTTTCAGACTTTGGAATTATGCTGGTCTCCTCCTCTACAACAGTCTCATTTTCAGTAGCAACTTCACTCGCCTGCGCTAATTCTGGTTTGGCGGCAGTCTGCTCTTGCAACTCGCCGACCACTTTGGTTGCAGACTCGTTATCAAGGTCGTCTGCAGTTTCTGGCGTCACATGAACTGGATCACCGTTCTCTTTGGATGCAGAAACAACATCGGACTCGAAATTAGCCTGAGATTTCGAATCCGAAATAACCTCGACCCTCGAATCCGAAACAACCTCGTCTTTCGAATCCGATTCAACCTGCTCTTCCGATTCCGAAATAACCTCCTTTTTCGAATCCGATTCCGCCACATTTTCCGTTTCGACCACGTTCTCGGTTTTCGCCTCCACAGCAACTTCCTCATCCACTACCACACTGCTCTGCTCCACTTTCGACGCATCCTTCACTTCCTCCTGCACTACGGTACTCGCGTCGGACTCGCGCGCATTCTCACAATCACTTCTCACTTCCTTCTCGGCTTTTTCTTCGTCCGGCATCTGCTCTTCTTTCTCCGCGTTCTCTTCTTTCTCCTTCTTCTTCTCCTCGTCGGCCTGCCTCGCTTCAGCGGCGTGATCACTATCGGCGCCCGCGGCGGTGGCGGTGCAACCCGCTTGTTCAGGATCTGTATCCTTGGTGGAGAGAGCGGCCTTTGCGGCGTCGCCCTCCACCGCCACCGTGGCTGCAGCTGCAGCGGCGGTGGCAGGAGCAGCCCCCGCGTCGGCGCCCGTCGGCTCCCGCGTGGGCGCCGCGTCGCCGCCG